CCTCCGGGAACCCTTCTCCTACTACCCAAAGGAAGGGCATACCCTGCATCCATCCAGAATCTCACGTCTCATGAGAAGATTCCGTTTACTAAGATGTTGATTCAAAATCCCAGCAGGTTTTCTGTAGACACTGACAAGCTGATTCTAAAATTCATATGTAAATGTAAGAGGCAAAACAGCTTTGAAAAGAAACAAAGTTAAAAATAAATTCAAAACTACAGGAATCAAGACACTACCAAGAAAGCATGAGAAAAATAACTAGATCAACGGCACAGAACAGAGTCCAAAATAGATCCATACCTATATGGAAAACCAATTTTTGATCCAGGTGAAAAGACCATTGAATTGAGAAAAGAGAATCTTTCAACAAACAGTGCTGCAATAATTGGAAGTAATTGCCCCCCCACCCACACACACACGAAATGATAACACTTGGATCTGAACTTAGATCCAGGCCCAGGCCAAGTTTATTTATCTCTGATAAATCTCTCCTGAAAGCGGCCCCTCCAGTCTCTCCTTTACTCTGTGAGTGGTTACAGAGCTGTGTTGGTGGAGAAACGCTCTGTAATGACATGCTGGGGTAAGCAATTCCAATAACCCATTATTCCAGTAATCCCTTGAGTCTTAAAACTTCACCTTAGGATGGACTTGGACTGTAGTATATTGGTTGTTTAATAAAAAGGAGAGACAGGAAGGGCCTCATTTGCATAAATATCTGAGTAAATACTCCCATCCAGTCAATTTCAAGCTACCATTGTGATATGACTGAATGTGGATATTGGTAGAAACGTTCCTAGTATTCCCACCATACAAATACAAGAGAGATTAATAACCTCAAGAGCACAGATAACAGTAAAATAATCGGAAATTAGTGTCAGTATCTAACACCTTCATTTTTAATATGATTTATTTAGTTTTAAGTTTCACATAATTTAAATTTTAATAATGGCAGTGTTTAAGCATTGATCAGCCAAATTCTTGAAATTTTAACAATCTGCTCCCGTGGCCTGTACAAGCCAGCTTCTGGGGGCACGTTCTTTGTAAGGGGCACAGTATGAGGCCAGGTAACCTCTAACTTCGTGATTCCTGCGGAAAGAGGAGGTCCTGGCAATAGTAAAACTCAATATCCATTCTTCTGAGCTGGACAAACATGAGGACACAGAGGCCAGGCGGGTTGAAGAATCTGCACAAGGTGTTGAGCGGTGGAGGGGAATCTGAGCTCAGGTCTGTCTCCAAAGCCAGAGACAGCACATCCTTCCGATGTTCCTACGATTTTGATTTCTATTTGGAAAAGCTTGACTTAAGGACTTTCAGCTCCGCGGAAAGTGTTAAGGGTGAGTGCGGGAGGGATGGGGCGTGGAGAGGCGGATGGAGCATTTTAAAAGCATACACCCTTTGCGCCCAGAAAGTTCTCAGTACCAACCCGATCCCAGGGCCTTGTCCACGGCCTACAAGGAAACGCTTTATTCCTACAGTTCACTGTGTGGGATCCCACCCGCCCCAGGGCCTTAAGTCTTCTGCAGGAGGGACAGCGGCTTGGGGACAAAACCGGGCCGCGTTCGGCGGGCGCAGGACCCGGCGGAAGGCGAGTAACTCCGGCGCTCGCAGCGCGCAG